AAATGGATGAGAGAGAGGCCAGAGTATGTAGCCACCTTTCCACGTCTGCAGTATGGCGGGTGTGGGACTCAGGGTCAAATCTCAGCTATGGATTCCCGGCACAGGCACAGAACCACCTGTTTTTCTCAGCAAGAGGCTAAATCATGTTGACAGGAATCCTCTCTGTAGCACAGAAGATCCTGCAGACACGTAGCATCTAGGCTGTGGGTCTAAATGGCTGAGGCTCGTGAACTGCCATTCAGTTGAGGTTTCCGCTGAGGTCCGGCAGGGAAGGCTCCGTTCTGGGGGCCTGGGGGAACTCCGGTGATAGTACACGGTACCCGCCGTGGGAGCTTAAAGAGGACTCTGCTCCGCCCATAGTGTGATGGGAGGTGGTCTTTGGAACAAGAGGCGGCATCTGTCCAGTTGCAGAGGACAGAAAGGAGGCTGTGACAGGAGGGCGGTTGTTGGAGTGGAAAGAGGTCTGGATTCAGAAGGAAGGTTCCCAGGCTGTATCTTCAGCAGTGTCTTTAGTAACTGTCGGTGAGCAATTGATTTCTCCTTCCTGACTTTCTGTCTCTTCATCTGCAAAGTCAGGCAAATTTCTCTCTCTCCATCTGCAAAGGCAGATGCCTTGCAGCGTCTGAAGCATTCAAGTGTGCGATCACTTAGGACCGCTTCTCCAGATGAGATGAAGCCCCTCGCTGTGTGGTGTTGGAGACAGCACTTGATGTGCGGGCATTGGGTGTTAGGAAGCGGTTCAACCCAGACCGGAGCACTCCCTGTGGAGAGCACGTCCCAGAATAACATAGCAGAAGCCACTGGGAGGGCCTGTGAAGTCACCTGATGTGCAGAGAATTGTGGGACAAGTTTGTTTGTCCTCTCCTAAGGGAAAGAAACGGGTTGTAAATGTGAACTGTGACAGGAAGGCAAGCGTGTCCCTGGGCATCAGATCTGTGTCAGGATGGGGGAGACAGCTGCCAAAGTCCAGAGAGAGGCCCCACGAGCCTCCAGTGATGTGGGAGCAGAAGGTCTTTTCAACATTTGGCCTCCTCTTGACGGTGAGCCTCCGGATCAGAAATGCATTGCCCGGTGGATCAGGAAACCGTGCCAGGGTTCTCTTGTGAAAGAGAAATCGTGAGAGCTTTCAGTAGATCAGGGACCCACACACGGACGTCCGTGTCCCTGTGCACATTGGGCTGACTGTGCTTGCAGAGTGTGAAGTGGGAAATATCTGAACGAACACATCTGTACTTGCAGAAAATGACGCAGATGAGGATGAAGGTGTTCATGTCGCAGAGGCTGAGATAATACAGGAGTCACGTGCCCCCAGGTAATGCTGAATAATCAGGGGCAAGTAGTGGGTGGTAAAGTATGGGAAAGTTCTAGAATCTCACCCTCTCTGGTGTCTACCGTGGGCCAAAAGCCTCCGCTCCCTTGGCCACAATACGTTCAGTTGAACCCAACTGAGACACAGGGCGTGGCAGCTGTTGTGGTTCTTTGTATGTGCCGAGTGCCGTGTCTGAATTCTGCAGGGATAACTGAGTCTCTGTTCTTCTCAGCTCCTTTCTGCCCCGTGTGATGAATACCAGCTGCTCCCTTTCTCTCCGGTTCCCATGGCAGCCATGCTCTGTGGCAGAGAGGAGGATTGCCTGTTTCCTCTCAAAGGGAACCTCCCATTTGCCTTCTGAGACCCCCTGTCTTATTCCTCCTGTGAAAACCAGCCAGGACTTCGTGGGGTCCAATCCCCCTTTGTTTAACGTTTTGTCATCTCTATACCGTCAGGCTCATCGGGGAGGTGCCAAAGGTTGATGTCCAGAGAGTCCCTGAAGACTCACTGGAGGAATGTGCCATCACTCGTTCAAGTAGCTACGGCCCGACTGACTCCAGCCAGCCTCACGGAGACACCGATGAAATCACGTTTGAGGAAGACAACGTGGACTCTGCACTGGTGGCAGGGAGTCCATCATCTCATGATGTAGTGGAGGATGCTCTGATCATTCTTTCAGGTGACCTCTACATTCCTTGTTTTTGGTACCTCTGTCTAGGCTGGGGAAGATCACCTCGGAAGACGGGCTCTATACACACGGATGGGTTTGAATAAAAATGTGGGATGGGATAGTAAACACAGATGATCAGGGAATTTTTATCTCTTCCTCAGCTCGTGCCGTGCGTTTGTCTCCCAGGCCCAAGTATCAAGTTACCAGACCCCAGGCCAGTGTGACAAACTCATGGTCACCTGAGTGCAGGAGGTGTCCAGTAGGTGTCTGTCAGGTGTCCTAGCTTTGAGTCGGTATCTCTCATCACCTGTAATGATGTCATCTGTCCCTGAACGATGTTCATGGAGTTTCCATTTCTTTTTAAGGAAACGGGGAGCCTTGCCTGTTTATTGGGGGATATCGTTCCCCAGGTTTCACTGCTCCGAGCTTCAGTCTTGATCTCTTTTAAGTCAGCTTGCTTAGCTGCACAGTCACCTTGAAACCAGGATGAAAACATTTGCCCTTTACCTTGCTGGTATGTTTCCGTAAAGCGAGGCTCACCCCGGCTCTCCGCCCCATCAGTGCAACGGCTGGCGCGATTTTTCTTGGTAGCATCACGTGTTGTTTGCTGTTGTTGAGTTGGAGTCTTATTTTGTCACCCAGGCTGGAGTGCAGTGGCACCCTCTTGGCTTACTGCAATCTCCGCTTCACGGACTCCAGTGATTCTCCTGCCTCTGCCTCCTGAGTAGCTGGGACCACAGGTGCCCACCACCACACCTGGCTAATTTTTGTATTTTTAGTGGAGACGAGGTTTCACCATATTGGCCAGGCTGGTTTTGAACTCCAGACCTCCAATTTTTGACCCACCTTGTCCTTTCAAATCAAGGATTTTTATTTATTTATTTATTTATTTATTTATTTTTTGAGATGGAGTGTCCCTCTGTCATTCAGGCTGGAGTTCAGTTGCACGATCTCAGGTGACTGCAACCTCTGCCTCCTGGGTTCAGACGATTGTTCTGCCTCAGCCTCCCGAGTTGCTGAGACTGTAGGCGCGTGCCACCGTGCCCAGCTAATTTCTTTGTATTTTTAGTAGAGACAGGCTTTCACCGTGTCAGCCGGGATGGTCCCGATCTCCTGACCTCGTGAAGTGCTCACCTCGGCCTTTCAGAGTGCTGGGATTCCAGGCGTGAGCCACCGTGCCCGGCCCGCAGATTCTTTTTTGTTTGTTTTTGTTTTGTCTTTTATTTATTCCTTCTCCCTAGAGACTGTCAGAAAGGGTCAATGCCGACTCTATTGCCTGTCTTCACGGCGGGGTATCGGGGAAAGTTTTCAATGAGCAATAATCTCATCTCAGATAAAACTCATTGGCTAGGATACTGCCACTGCGCAAAGCTCGCAGATTCTTTTTCGAGCAGGTGTTGTTAGAGTTTACATATTGTCCGGTTTCATGTCTAGATGCCTGTGACCATTCAGTGACCTTGCTACCTGGTGAGATACGTCAGTGTTGTAGCAACACTCCCCGAAAATAGTTTGACTAATTTTTGGAGACTTTCTGGGAAAAAATGTGGTTTAACTTTGCATAGACTCGCGGAGAGAATACGGCATTATGGTGTACCTGTACAGGGAGATTTTAGCCCGGGCATCTGGAAAGCAGGCTCATCTACTCACCAGGCTTCATCTAGGGCACCCTGGAATCTTCCTGTCAGAATTTGTATTCTTGCCCTGGGAACAATTCTGTGCTTGTGCTGTGACTTAACACTGATTTGGTCACATGTGAAGTGTGATGTTCTTCACGTGACCTGCTTTTCTGAATTTGTTTACAGAAGATGGAAAAGATCATGAGGAGGACCAGAAATACGAAGACAAGCAAAATAAACTTCTTATGAGCCAGGCGGCCTGCGACCTGGGCTGCCGGCTGAAGACGGAAGGTAAGTTCTATAGGTTGACCATCACGAGTGTGCTGAAGAGTGTTCTGTGTTTTGTCTGAGAAACGGAACGCTCTCTTCATCAGAATGTATTTCATTTTCCCCATACCTCTAGGCAAATATAACTTTGTATTTTAACATTTTGTTAAAAATGGATGAGAGAGAGGCCAGAGTATGTAGCCACCTTTCCACGTCTGCAGTATGGCGGGTGTGGGACTCAGGGTCAAATGTCAGCTATGGATTCCCGGCACAGGCACAGAACCACCTGTTTTTCTCAGCAAGAGGCTAAATCATGTTGACAGGAATCCTCTCTGTAGCACAGAAGATCCTGCAGACACGTAGCATCTAGGCTGTGGGTCTAAATGGCTGAGGCTCGTGAACTGCCATTCAGTTGAGGTTTCCGCTGAGGTCCGGTAGGGAAGGCTCCGTTCTGGGGGCCTGGGGGAACTCCGGTGATAGTACACGGTACCCGCCGTGGGAGCTTAAAGAGGACTCCGCTCCGTCCATAATGTGATGGGAGGTGGTCTTTGGAACAAGAGGCGGCATCTGTCCAGTTGCAGAGGACAGAAAGGAGGCTGTGACAGGAGGGCGGTTGTTGGAGTGGAAAGAGCTCTGGATTCAGAAGGAAGGTTCCCAGGCTGTATCTTCAGCAGTGTCTTTAGTAACTGTCGGTGAGCAATTGATTTCTCCTTCCTGACTTTCTGTCTCTTCATCTGCAAAGTCAGGCAAATTTCTCTCTCTCCATCTGCAAAGGCAGATGCCTTGCAGCGTCTGAAGCATTCAAGTGTGCGATCACTTAGGACCGCTTATCCAGATGAGATGAAGCCCCTCGCTGTGTGGTGTTGGAGACAGCGCTTGATGTGCGGGCATTGGGTGTTAGGAAGCGGTTCAGACCGGAGCACTCCCTGTGGAGAGAACGTCCCAGAATAACATAGCAGAAGCCACTGGGAGGGCCTGTGAAGTCACCTGATGTGCAGAGAATTGTGGGACAAGTTTGTTTGTCCTCTCCTAAGGGAAAGAAACGGGTTGTAAATGTGAACTGTGACAGGAAGGCAAGCGTGTCCCTGGGCATCAGATCTGTGTCAGGATGGGGGAGACAGCTGCCAAAGTCCAGAGAGAGGCCCCACGAGCCTCCAGTGATGTGGGAGCAGAAGGTCTTTTCAACATTTGGCCTCCTCTTGACGGTGAGCCTCCGGATCAGAAATGCATTGCCCGGTGGATCAGGAAACCGTGCCAGGGCATTTTGTGAAAGAGAAATCATGAGAGCGTTCAGTAGATCAGGGACCCACACACGGACGTTCGTGTCCCTGTGCACATTGGGCTGACTGTGCTTGCAGAGTGTGAAGTGGGAAATATCTGAACGAACACATCTGTACTTGCAGAAAATGACGCAGATGAGGATGAAGATGTTCATGTCGCAGAGGCTGAGATAATACAGGAGTCACGTGCCCCCAGGTAATGCTGAATAATCAGGGGCAAGTAGTGGGTGGTAAAGTATGGGAAAGTTCTAGAATCTCACCCTCTCTGGTGTCTACCGTGGGCCAAAAGCCTCCGCTCCCTTGGCCACAATACGTTCAGTTGAACCCAACTGAGACACAGGGCGTGGCAGCTGTTGTGGTTCTTTGTATGTGCCGAGTGCCGTGTCTGAATTCTGCAGGGATAACTGAGTCTCTGTTCTTCTCAGCTCCTTTCTGCCCCGTGTGATGAATACCAGCTGCTCCCTTTCTCTCCGGTTCCCATGGCAGCCATGCTCTGTGGCAGAGAGGAGGATTGCCTGTTTCCTCTCAAAGGGAACCTCCCATTTGCCTTCTGAGACCCCCTGTCTTATTCCTCCTGTGAAAACCAGCCAGGACTTCGTGGGGTCCAATCCCCCTTTGTTTAACGTTTTGTCATCTCTATACCGTCAGGCTCATCGGGGAGGTGCCAAAGGTTGATGTCCAGAGAGTCCCTGAAGACTCACTGGAGGAATGTGCCATCACTCGTTCAAGTAGCTACGGCCCGACTGCCTCCAGCCAGCCTCACGGAGACACCGATGAAATCACGTTTGAGGAAGACAACGTGGACTCTGCACTGGTGGCAGGGAGTCCATCATCTCATGATGTAGTGGAGGATGCTCTGGTCATTCTTTCAGGTGACCTCTACATTCCTTGTTTTTGGCACCTCTGTCTAGGCTGGGGAAGATCACCTCGGAAGACGGGCTCTATACACACGGATGGGTTTGAATAAAAATGTGGGATGGGATAGTAAACACGGATGATCAGGGAATTTTTATCTCTTCCTCAGCTCGTGCCGTGCGTTTGTCTCCCAGGCCCAAGTATCAAGTTACCAGACCCCAGGCCAGTGTGACAAACTCATGGTCACCTGAGTGCTGGAGGTGTCCAGTAGGTGTCTGTCAGGTGTCCTAGCTTTGAGTCGGTATCTCTCATCACCTGTAATGATGTCATCTGTCCCTGAACGAAGTTCATGGAGTTTCCATTTCTTTTTAAGGAAACGGGGAGCCTTGCCTGTTTATTGGGGGATATCGTTCCCCAGGTTTCACTGCTCCGAGCTTCAGTCTTGATCTCTTTTAAGTCAGCTTGCTTAGCTGCACAGTCACCTTGAAACCAGGATGAAAACATTTGCCCTTTACCTTGCTGGTATGTTTCCGTAAAGCAAGGCTCACCCCGGCTCTCCGCCCCATCAGTGCCACGGCCGGTGCGATTTTTCTTGGTAGCATCACGTGTTGTTTGCTGTTGTTGAGTTGGAGTCTTTTTTGTCACCCAGGCTGGAGTGCAGTGGCACCCTCTTGGCTTACTGCAATCTCCGCTTCACGGACTCCAGTGATTCTCCTGCCTCTGCCTCCTGAGTAGCTGGGACCACAGGTGCCCACCACCACACCTGGCTAATTTTTGTATTTTTAGTGGAGACGAGGTTTCACCATATTGGCCAGGCTGGTTTTGAACTCCAGACCTCCAATTTTTGACCCACCTTGTCCTTTCAAATCAAGGATTTTTTTTTTTTTTTTTTTTTTTTGAGATGGAGTGTCCCTCTGTCATTCAGGCTGGAGTTCAGTTGCACGATCTCAGGTGACTGCAACCTCTGCCTCCTGGGTTCAGACGATTGTTCTGCCTCAGCCTCCCGAGTTGCTGAGACTGTAGGCGCGTGCCACCGTGCCCAGCTAATTTCTTTGTATTTTTAGTAGAGACAGGCTTTCACCGTGTCAGCCGGGATGGTCCCGATCTCCTGACCTCGTGAAGTGCTCACCTCGGCCTTTCAGAGTGCTGGGATTCCAGGCGTGAGCCACCTTGCCCGGCCCGCAGATTCTTTTTTGTTTGTGTGTGTGTTTTTTTTTTTTTTTTTTTTTATTCCTTCTCCCTAGAGACTGTCAGAAAGGGTCAATGCCGACTCTATTGCCTGTCTTCACGGCGGGGTATCGGGGAAAGTTTTCAATGAGCAATAATCTCATCTCAGATAAAACTCATTGGCTCGGATACTGCCACTGCGCAAAGCTCGCAGATTCTTTTTCGAGCAGGTGTTGTTAGAGTTTACATATTGTCCGGTTTCATGTCTAGATGCCTGTGACCATTCAGTGACCTTGCTACCTGGTGAGATACGTCAGTGTTGTAGCAACACTCCCCGAAAATAGTGTGACTAATTTTTGGAGACTTTCTGGGAAAAAATGTGGTTTAACTTTGCATAGACTCGCGGAGAGAATACGGCATTATGGTGTACCTGTACAGGGAGATTTTAGCCCGGGCATCTGGAAAGCAGGCTCATCTACTCACCAGGCTTCATCTAGGGCACCCTGGAATCTTCCTGTCAGAATTTGTATTCTTGCCCTGGGAACAATTCTGTGCTTGTGCTGTGACTTAACACTGATTTGGTCACATGTGAAGTGTGATGTTCTTCACGTGACCTGCTTTTCTGAATTTGTTTACAGAAAGTCAAAGTGATGATGAGGAAGAGGAAGAAAAAGGGCCCGTACCCCACAGGTAATGCTGTGGGGTTTTGAGCTGTGTGTTCAGTAGTGACACCTGGAGACTGCAGATTTAGGGAAACTGAGGAAGTGATGACTGGAAGTCTTTCTTCCTTTCACCCAGCTACAAATTGTCTTTATTGACAATGTTGTGCGTGAATTTTGGCACTTTTATACGTTTTAATTTCTTAGTCCTCCCAAGATAGGAGTCTACAAGTCCGTGAGCCAGGTGACGTCAGCCCACAGGGATTTGTTGGTTTCACCTGTTCTCTCCCATGTGTTTGAATCCATTGAGAGACACATGTATGCTCTCTGTGTATTTCTTTTGGCATGTTTGCTAGGATTTGTGAATAGAAGAAATTCAAAAAATATACATATGATATCAACGTACTGGAAAATGGAGGTCCTTAATACCCAAAATCTGGGTGTCTGAAATGCCTCAAGAGCTCTGTTCACTTGAATGCCACATGTAAAATTGAACACAACTGATGCGAGGTAGTTGAAGCCCCTTATTAGTCTGGGTGTCCTGCAGTGGCTCATCTGTGGCAAATGCACTGAGCACCTGCTGCTCATTTGTGATCTGTCCCCAGGGTAGTCACCCTCCGCCCTGCATTTAGAAGGATAGTTTTTTTTTTTTTTCTCTTGAAGGAAAAATTCCTTTGCTTTCTGGGACCACTTCATTCTGACTTCCATCAGATCAGCTGGGAGACTCTGTTGTCTAATCTCTGTTGGTTTAATCTTCTGTCACCCTGTCCTGCCTGGCTCATCAGGAATCTGCAGGAGTCTGTGGAGGAAGAAGCCCCCCAGGAGTCCTGGGATGAAGGTTATTCGACTCTCTCAGTTCCTCTTGGCACATCTGCCTTCAATGAGCCTTACAGGAGCAACTTGCACTCATTAGAGGAGCAGCAAGTCGACTTGGCTTGTGACATAGACAGTGAGTACTCCATTGTGAAGGCGGTAAAGCTCCATTTTGTGTCCCAGATAGACCCCATAGTCTTTGGGCTTTGCTCCCCTGTCCGGGCTGAGAGTTGTCATCTCTGTGGGCTGACCCTGTACATCAGTGTAGATTTCAGTCACTCTGGATTCAGTCTGAGGCACGTACATGGGGTGGGTCAGTGAGCTTTGCTCTCTCTCTAGTCTCAGGCCATGCCCGTCGCACCCTGGACCGACTGTCAGGACATTGAAACGCAAGGCAGGTTTTGCACACTCACACCAAGCTATGCAGTGCATGCCCACAAGTTGTCTGTCCATCTGAATTCAATGTGTCTTTCCAGCTACCAAGTTCCTCATGAGTTTTGTTCCCCAAGCATGTCTGGGAGGTTCTTCCCTGTTTGTACAAACTTGGTGTAACTGTTTGTACACACTTGGGATCAAAGGTTAATGGTCTACCAGAATAGGGACACTTCACCATTGGTTCTGAGACACAAACCAAGGAATCTCTATCATGATTGGCCTTGGGACCTCCTGAAGTCTGTCTCTCACATTATCCTGTTCTCATGCTGAGGAGCCTGAGGTCCGTATGTAGGGATTAGACAGTGGACTGTTATGGGTGTAGGGGAATTGGCTTATTTTGTCTGTCCCTGTCTGAATTTATTGCAGAGATTAAAATAAGCAAGAAGAGGAAGAAGACCAAGACCCACCATGCCCCAGGTAACTTTGAGCAGACACCTGGAGATGCCAGGTCCAGGGAGAAGGGAGTGGGCTGACAATATCGATACCATGGTTTCAACGAAGCCTGAACTACTCCTACTAACATTGCTGTTGGTTTTCGTTGCAGTAGATATTCAGGTTTCCATTTCTTCCTCCCCTTATCATGTACTAAGTGCCGTAGTTTGACCATACTTGTTTTTATGATCAGTGTCCGCTGTGTGTCCTGAGGGTACTCACTCAGAGTGTCCTTTTCCTCCCTCATGAGTGTGTCACCTGGGCGGTTAGCTGAGCTTACTCTCTCTCTCTCTCTCTCTCTCTCTCTCTCTCTCTCTTTCATTCTTTTTTACCCTACTCTTGCCCATCCCAACATAGGGCAATAATTTGTTACGTCATTAAGGGATCTATTTTTATTTTTTTAGTAACCACTTTCTTGTGCTCCCCATGAAATCTAGTTGGGGCTCTGTGGTGTCTTATTTTCCTTGACTTATTCTTTGTTTGTTTTTTTTGTTTTTTTTTTCCCTTTTCTAGGCTCATCATGGAGCTGGTGGAAGCAGAAGAGCCTGAAGTCTTCCGGTACTCACTGGATATATTGGATTCCATGTATCCAGCCTATCCTGAGTTTTTTTACACCTGCCAGGCTTACACATATGCTCTTTTTTATTTGTAGAAGAGCATGTTCGCTTGACTTTGGACATGGACAGTAGGTTTCTTACTATGACGGTGATAAGACTCCACCTGGTCTCCCGGATAGGGGTCACATTCCCACACTAAGACAACACGTCACCTGGGACTCTGCCAGTGCAGATTGTGAACAATGCCATGTTCTTGCTGAAAACACTTAGCATGAGTTTCATAGCCTGAAGTAATCTCCAGACAACTTCAGAATGTAGACCAGTGAGCAGCACGACTGACCTGTCTCCTTCAGACAGCCCATGTCACCACAGATCACACAACTGAAAGAGAAGAGACATTTTGGGTTGAAAAAGAGTCGAAAGATAATGTAGCTCCATTTCTTTAGTTCTTTTGAACCCAAAGTGTCTCCTCACCTTTTTGTTGTTGTCATTGATGGTGGTGACATGGGCTTGTTTGTAGACAGGTCAGCTGTCTGCGTCGATGGTTTATACTCTGAAGTTGTCTGAAAATGTCCTCATGATTAACTTCAGCCTAAGTGTTTTTGCGGGAACACTGCAGGGTCAATGCTACCTCAGCCATCTGCAGGCAGAGAAGGTCCTTTGTGTCTCCCACCATGATCGTGATACCTGGACTGTTCGATTTGTCTATCACCATGATCGTGATACCAGGATTGTTCCACCATTTGTCTATCACCATGATCGTGATACCAGGACTGTTCCACCATTTGTCTATCACCATTACTGTGATACCAGGAGTGTTCCGCCATTTGTCTATCACCATGATCGTCATACCAGGACTGTTCCACCATTTGCCTACCACAATGCTTGTGATTCCAGGACTATTCCACCATTTGTAAACCACCATCATCCTGAGACCAGGACTGTTCCACCATTTGTCTATCACCATGATCATGGTACCAGGACTGTTCCACCATATCCCTATCACCATGATCGTGATACCAGAACTCTTTCACCATTTGTCTACCACCATGATCGTGATACCAAGACTGTTCCACCATTTGTCTATCACCATGATTATGGTACCAGGACTGTTCCACCATTTGTCTACCACCATGACTGTGATACGATGACTTTTCACCATTTGTCTATCACCACTACTGTGACACCAGGACTGTTCCATCATTTGTCTATCACCATAATTGTGCTATCAGGACTGTTCCACCATTTGTCTACCACCATGATCGTGGTACCAGGACTGTTCCACCATTTGTCTATCACCATGATCGTGGTACCAGGACTCTTTCACCATTTGTCTATCACCATGATCATGGTACCAGGACTGTTTTACCATTTGTCTACCACCATGATCGTGGTAGCAGGACTGTTCCACCATTTGTCTATCACCATGATCGTGATACCAGGACTGTTCCACCATTTGTCTATCACCATGATCATGACACCAGGACTGTTCCAACATTTGTCTATCACCATTACTGTGATACCAGGACTGTTCCACCATTTGTCTACTGCCATTACTGTGATACCAGGACTGTTCCACCATTTGTCTATCACCATGATCGTGATACCTGGACTGTTTATTGGTCTATCACCATGATACTGATACCAGTACTGTTCCACCATTTGTCTGTCAGCATGATCTTTATACGAGGACTGTTCCACCATTTGTCTATCACCATGATCGTGATACCAGGACTCTTCCACCATTGGTCTACCACAATGATCGTGATGCCAGGACTGTTCCACCATTTGTCTATCACCATGATTGTGGTACCAGGACTGTTCCACTATTTGTCTACCACCATGATCGTGATACCAGGACTGTTCCACCATTTGTCTACCACCATGATCGTGATACCAGGACTGTTCCACCATTTGTCTATCACCATTACTGTGATACCAGGACTGTTTCACCATTTGTCTACCACCATTACTGTGATACCGGGACTGTTCCACCATTTGTCTATCACCATGACTGTGATACCAGGACGGTTCCACTATTTGTCTACCACCATTACTGTGATACCAGGACTGTTCCACCATTTGTCTATCACCATGACTGTGATACCAGGACTGTTCCACCATTTGTTTATCACCATTACTGTGATACCAGGACTGTTCCACTATTTGTCTACCACCATGACTGTGATACCAGAACTGTTCCACCATTTGTCTATCACCATTATCGTGATACCAGGACTGTTCCACCATTTGTCTGTCACTGTTACTGTGATGCCAGGACTGTTCCACCATTTGTATACCACTATGACTGTGATACCAGGACTGTTCCACCATTTGTCTATCACCATGATCGTGGTACCAGGACTATTGCACCATTTGTCTACCACCATGATCGTGATACCAGGACTGTTCCACCATTTGTCTATCTATGATCATGGTACCAGGACTGTTCCACCATTTGTCTAGCACCATGATCATGGTACCAGGACTGTTCCACCATTTGTCTACCACCATGATTGTGATACCAGGGCTGTTCTACCATTTGTCTATCTCCATGATCATGATACCAGGACTGTTCCACCATGTGTCTATCACCATGATCATGGTACCAGGACTGTTCCACCATTTGTCTGCCACCATGATCATGGTACCAGGACTGTTCCACCATTTGTCTACCACCATGATTGTGGTACTAGGACTGTTCCACCATTTTTCTATCACCATGATTGTGATACCAGTTCTGTACCTTTCAGAGACACCTTATTGATACTGAAGTAATTGGAAAAATCATTTTTAAAAGTATTAATATCCAGTGTTCAAATGATCATCCCCTAACCATTTTATTCATTAATCATCCCTGGAGGTGTCAATTACTATATTTATATCTCTATACTGGAAATTTTCCATTTTTACTCTATCTTTGCTTTTCCTAGTTTCTGTTGTTGGAAAAAAATTCCCTGCCTGCATTTTCATTTTGGCCAAAGTTAATGTTAATCTATACTATTAAAAGTTTTTCTCTTAAGATAAGACTGTCAGCACATAAGGCCATAGCAAAACAGAGAATTCACTGATTTTGAAGCCTTTGTTAATTTCTGACTGACAAGATACGTAGTTTACTTATTTAGCTGCTAATATCTATTTAAATGAGCAGCCAGGGAAATGTCTGTCAGACTAAGGATATGCAAAGCCCAGGCCATTCTCTTTGAGTCTTTTAAACTATTTCAAAAGAGCAGAATATAGGTAGATTCCACATATGTGGATGGGAAGGAGAATACACTAAAAGAAACAGACGACTATTTCCCAAAACAGAATAAAAAATTAGATTTAAATAAACATACCCCATTAAAATTCATAAAACATTTCCTCATGAAATGTAATCTCTCTAAACTTACCTATTATATGAACGTCAGTTCTTAATATGCCACACTACATTGACTGTTGACTGTTGACATTCATATGAGCATATTTCCAAGTTTCTTATATGAAAAAGCAAATGGATTATAATCCTTTATTTTTGCAGTGATCTTTTTAAGATTGACGATTTTTTCTCAAAATAAAACCAAAGATTTTAAAGATTGAAAATGACATTAAAATTTATCTTCTCAAAGTAATGATGTTGAACTCTGTGTATCTTATTCCTGTTTATAGTGTAACTGTCAAGTGATCGTTGAACCATTGTTTAAATATTTCAAATTCCTGGGAACAAACCGCATCCCAGGGTGTATCTTCTTTTTCTTTTCATTTTTTCTTTATTTGACTTTAAGTCCTGGGGTGCACGTGCAGATCTTGCACGATTGTTTCATAGGTCTACACACGCCATGGTGGTTGGCTGCCTCCATCCCTCCATCACTTACATTAGGTATTTGTCCTAATGCTATTTTTTCTCAATCTCCCCATGCCCTGCTATCCCTCCCTCGCCCCCAACCCTCAACAGACCTCAGTTCGTGATGTTCCCCTCCTGTGTCCTTGTGTTCTCATTGTTCAACATTCTCTTATGAGTGAAAACGTGTGGTGTTTGGTTTTCTGTTCTTGTTTCAGTTTGCTGAGAATGATGGTTTCCAGCTTTATCCATGTCCCTGCAAAGGACATGAACTCATCCTTTTTTATGGCTACATAGTACTCCCTGGTGTATATGTGCGACTTTTTCTTTATCCACTGTGTTATCGATGGGCATTTGGGTTGGTTGTAAGTCTTTGCTATTGTAAACAGTGCCACAATGATCATACGTGTGCATGTGTCTTTATAATAGAAGCATTTATAATCCTTTGGGTATATACCCGGTAATGGGATTGCTGGGTCAAATGGTATTTCCATTTCTAGATCCTTGAGGAATCGCCACACTGCCTTCCACAATGATTGAAGTAATTTATATTCCCATCAACAGGGTAAAAGAATTCCTATTTCTCCACATCCTCTCCAGCATCTGTTGTCTCCTGATATTTTAATGATCACCATTCTAAATGGCGTGAGATGGTATCTGAATGTGATTTTGATTTGCATTTTTCTAATGACCAGTGATGCTGAGCATTTTTTCTTATGTTTCTTGTCCACCTGAATGTCATCTTTTGAAAAGTGTCTGTTCATAGCCTTCGCCTACTCTTTGATGGGGTTGCTTTTTCTCTCGTATATTTGTTTTGGTTCTTTATGGATTCTGATGATTAGTTTTTTGTGAGATGGGTAACTTGCAAAATGTTTTTTGCATTTTGTTGGGTTCTGGTTCACTCTAATGATTGTTTCTTTTGCTGTGCAGAAGCTCTTAGGTTTAATTAGATCTATTTTGTCTATTTTGCCTTTTGTTTCCAATGCTTTTGGTGTTTGAGTCATGAAGTCATTGCCTATGCCTATGTCCTGCATGGTATTTCCTAGGTTTTCTTCATGGGTTTTTATGGTGTTAGGTCTTACGTTTAAATCTTTCATTTATCTGGACTTAATTTTTGTCTAAAGTGTAAGGAAGGAGTCCAGTTTCAGCTTTCTGCACATGGCTAGCCAGTTTCCCCAACACCATTTATTAAACAGGGAATCCTTTCCCCATTGCTTGTTTTTGTCAGGTTTGTCAAAGATCAGATGGTTGTAGATGTGTGACATTATTTCTGAGGCCTCTGTTCGGTTCTGTTGGTCTATATCTCTGTTTTGGTACCAGTACCATGC